TTTATACTTATTGTTGATTAACCACAGCAGGTGATGCACTATAAAAATAGGAAGATCTTCAGTACCTAGATCCTTAAATGGTGACAGACCTGACATAAGAAGGCTGTGATAATTAGGAAGTTGAGGATAATAATAGAACAAAGGAATCCCTGATTAGGAATAGTCCTAGTGAAATTCTGGAGTAATAGAAATACAAAATTAGTATATAGATAGTACTATAAAAATGTATATAAAATAAAAAAAATATAAAATGTAGGCAGAGTCCTGATAAAAGGTCCTGTGAACTTAAAAATTTGAACTAATAAAATAGCCGTCAACTATGGCCCACTAGCGACCAGGCAATGGAAATTCAAAAAAAAAAAATAATAATAAAGTTTTATTAGTAACATATATCAATTTTAGATAAAAATTTTAATATACTATACATAACTATAAAAATGATCTATATGCTCCTACTCTTAATGCACTCCTATTTTTTGTACCAGGTTATGTCGATCAATATGTGGTATAACTATTCGAATACTGAAATAAGCAGTTACATGCATATAAAATAGATAATCAATAAACTATCGAAACATATGATATAAAGGAATATATATATAATATGTATTGTATGTGCATAACTAACCATTATTTACTGTTTAATACTATTTAATACTAATTATAACATCCCTATAAATAATATCATTAAAAGCTTAATAAATGAAAGTTTTGAATAAGATCCTGGATATTATAAGCAGAGCTAAATGTTAATTATGTTCTTTTTATAAATGTGAATTTTCATGTTCACTTTTAATATAAACAAATTTTTTAAATTGTTTAACCGATTTAATATAACAACCTGGAGCATTAGGTTCGAATTCTGCAAAATTCTTGTCTGGTTAATATTTTCACCATACAATGTATATAAAGGAACTTTTAGTTTTTAAGATAAGAGCTTTTGATTTTTTAAAAATTCAATTTTTATTATTTGCATATTGAAATACTAATATACTGTATTTTTTTTTGGTAATTTTGTCAATTTATATAATCGCTACCTATAAATTATATAAAATATTTATTCAATAAATGATACTAAATAATTCTCGTGTTCTTATATAATTACTTTATGAATTTCAATACAGTATAACTTTATAATTATACAAAACAAAGAATAATCAATCATTGTATAAATAATTGCATTAGGATAGGTTGTGTAAGGGAAATTAATTCAAATCATAATATACATATACTTTAATATGTAACATAATCATGACAGACTAACCTAAGTAATTTGCGTCTAATTGACAGATCAGTGATGTAATTGTATTTTTAAAAATAAAAATAATAATATATATTTCAAACAAAATATTTCAAATCGTAATAATGATAATAACAGACTATAAGTAATTTAGAGTCTAATTGACAGATCAATGATGTGATTGTACATACAAAAAAATAAATAAATATGAAATTTAATTTTTACAACTTGAACCTTTGCTTCGTTATCTTAATAAAACAAGCACTAAAAAATATCATTGTGTACGTAGGTAGGAAGTTTAGTGGTAAAGGAGAAGTTTGGCGATAAGAAGATGAAGCATAGTGAAGAAGTGCATAAAATAAACCTTTGACATTTCAAAAATACAAAATGAAGTGCTTTAGAATATAAAATATAATAGAAATAGTACAACTATTTGGGAAACATTAGGCTGGTCGAGCAATCAAAAAATAATTAAAATTATAAAAAAAAAAAAAAAAAATTAAAAAATTAATAACTAGTTGAATTCTAATTTTACATAAGTAACATAATTAGTAAATCGAAAAATTTTAATATAGTAACTTATATACAATTTATTTATTTTAAAATAGCAGAATCAACATTTACATTTACGAAATTATGACCTTTACATTTACCAACTATACAGATAAGAATATGTTGACAAATTATATAAGAGGAAATATGTTCACAAACTGTATAGGAAATACATTCACATATTCTATAGAAAATGCATTCACATATTCTATGGAAAATACATTCATATACCCTATAAAAAATTCATTCACATACCTTATAGAAAATTTATTCACAAATTATATGGAGAATTCATTCACAAATCGTATGAAGAATTCATCTACAAATCATATGAGTGATATGTTCTTGAATTATATAGACAATACATTTACAAATAATATAGCATGAATGAATGCTTCTAAGACTCTAGCTGTTGATGAGAGTGTTAAGTTGGATATAGACATGGGAATGGATGAAGGTGTAGAAGTGGATGAAGATACAGAAGTGGATGACAGTACAGAAGTGGATGAAGAAGCTGAAGTGAGTTAAAATTGCGTTAAAATTATATATTCAAATTATATATACTTTTGTCTTATTACTAGTTTTATTTCTTAATTATTGTAATTCTTGTTTCTTTTTTTTTGTTTTTATAATTTATAAAGATCAATTATACTGAAATAAATTTTGATTCTTACAAAGCAATCCAAGATGATACAAATTTTGTTAATCATATAAATAATGAAAATTCCTGTGAGATAAATTAAATTTTAAACAGCAATACAAGTTTTTTTATGATATAATATGGCAATAACAGTCATAATGTTTTTGGATTTTTTCTTGGAATTCATTACCAGATTTTTTGCAGACTATTTTTTCTTCAAATTATAGCTATATAATCCAACATATCATAAAATTGTCACTATATTATACTTACAAGGGTTTTGGAATATAGCAATTTGAAGTTGATATATTCATTAATGTTTCAACTGTAGAAGACATAAAAGTATAGTTTGCTGCTTTTGAAGAACACTCAAGAATAACAATGCCACAAACTAAGAAATATGGAGTCAAAGGCAAATGAGTTATTTTTCGCGAATCAAGGCATTGTATTCATAGTCAAGCTGTTAGAAAAAAACAAGATGATTCTAAAAGAATATATTCAGAATTAACACATAATAGGAACATAGGTTGTGAAGCAACCTTACATTTGTGATTAGAATGTTGGCATTTGAATACTAGTTATCTTTTAGAAGTTAATGTTTGCTTCAAACACAATCATATTGTAAATTCTGCCAGTGATGGCAAATGACAAAGTCATAAAAATTTTTATGAAAATGACTATAAATGACATGTCATTTTAAAATGACAATATCATTTATTATAAAAGACTTTTATACAAAACTATAGCAAAATGACAAGTCATAAAAAATATTTTTATAAATGATATTAAAATAACAAATAAATGACAATAAAACTAATACTAAATATGTTCTTAATACCAAACTCCTATTTGAAAAACAATTCTTAAATAACCTTTAAATTGCTTAATTATACTTCTTAACTAACTTCTTTAAAATTGCTTTTAGCAAACAGCAATTATCAATTTATCTAACTGATATCAAAAAATCCAAGAAAAAAAAAAATAATAATAAAATCTCTACAATTATAAAGTAATTCTTAATCAGGTAAGTTAAAAACATGCTCTAAAGGTGAATTCTTCTATAATTTTAATATTGTATATGTAATTGTCACCTACATATAAAATAAAGAATTAAAAAAAAGTTTAAGTGATTATGTTATAGAAATATCTCGCTAGCCACATAGTGCCTAACTCAGCAATCAGCCAACCAGAAATTGGAATGCCAAAGAGAGCCATTATCTCTCCAAGCTGTCTTATTTTCTCATCTAGTTACAAGTTTTTATATATGCACATATATATTAATTAAGAATAATAATATAACTAACTAATACTCAAAGCATATTATTTTTCCCTTCATACACATAACTAAGAAAAACTCACTGCACATAACAGGCATTAATCTAGTTAACAAATTATACAGTTATCTAATTATTTGTTATGCTGTTTGTTATTATGTTTTGCAAGTTGTTATTGACTAACTGAATTTTAATTTATTGCAGTTTGCAAATTGATGCATCTTTAATCAAATTTGTAGGTCGCTACACACTAATACAATTATTTGAACAACTATCTGATTGTGTCCAGTTGTGTGATTATACAATTTTTTATTATTATTCTCGATCAGATACTTTATTAATGTATATAAAAATGACAAAATAACATATAGAAATAGGTTCGCTATAATAACCTAAACTATAATAAATTACATATTTAGTTATAATAAAATAGAACCCTAAACCAGGAGTTTCTCTGTGAATTTTCATAGCTATGATGAGAATCGATTATGGTGAGGTGTATGATGGCATATTAACCTCTATGGAGAAAATTAATGTAAAAACAGTCCTTGCATTGCAAATGCAGCCATGGAGCCGAAATATTAAATAGCATAAGGTCCTTACACTGCAAATGCAGCCATGAAGCTGAAATATTAAATAGCATAAGGTCCTTATACTGCAAATGCCTAAAACTTACAAAAACAAGGTCCTTGCACTGTTATTGCAGCCTTGGAGCCTAATAGCTTACCTATTTCCTAAGGACTTCAAGATTTACATTCATATTACAAGGTCCTTGCACTGCCTTGCAGCCACGGAGCCTGTTAGAATAAGTCCTTGCATTGCTTCTGCAACTGAGGAGTTTAAGAAATTTGTGTCTTAAACCGGATGGGATGGGAGGGTAACGAAGCCAGTCCTAACTACTGGGCGAGCAATAGTGAACAGAAAGATAAAGACATCTACTTGAAGAAACAATACTTAAATACATTATCTCTAAACTGATTATCAACTCTCCCTAGCTTATGCGTAAACTCCATTATTCTTCCTTTAGCTTACAAACTATAATTACTGCTTAATATCAATTCATGGATAACCAATTTTGAATATTCATATAGCATTACTCTTAAAAATACTTGAATCCAACAAGGTACTTACAAGGCATAAAATGCACTTACTCCATAAGGGATACACATATGAATGTTACATATGATCTACCATAAAGTCATCTGATCTCACAATAATGATCGCATAGATATGACTGACAAACTTTATAAAAATAATATATTAATACATATTAAATCTTCTGCTAAAAAACATACTTTATAATCATTTATAATCACGCAATTGAATGATTGTACTGTATAAGTGTGCAGCAATCTACGAATTTGATTAATTTGCAAACTGATTATGTTTATATTATAATACTGTACAAGAGATAAAATTCACAAAAAGTATTGCACATATGTGATATATTATTAATAAGTAGCTGCATGACATTGTCACACAAAACTAGGAATGGAAGATGAATTTTCAGATCAAGTTGCAGATGAAACTGCTTTCATCATGAGTATTTTGTTTGCTTAACTTTTATAAGTTTTATTTG